ACGCCATGTGGTCACCTCCGGGGCAGGCGGGAATCAAACTCATGCGGAAGTGGCCTTAGATTCTCAGTGCTGTGCTTTAACCCGCTGCGCCACCAGGGAGGGCCGGGAATCATTCTTTTTAATTATTAGGAAGACCCTTAGATTTTAAGTTACGTTTTTAAATAACTTTTGACTCTTTTCAGACATCTGTGTCGCCCTTGTCATAATCGTGAGAAAGCCAGAGGCCTTGGAAAATACATCTGCCAGAAATGCCATGCCATCATTGATGAACAACCTCTGATTTTCAAGAATGATCCTTACCATCCAGACCATTTCAACTGTGCCAACTGCGGGTATTACAGATTATTCATTTTTTATTGCACAAATAGTAAAAATGAAAGACCACAAATATCTTTGTTTTTTATACTGTGGCAAATTAGTTTTTTTCCCTCCAATTTTTAATCTGGAAAATTTAAACTTTCAAGAGACTAATATGTCTATATACTCTTCATTTAATTCCATGTTAATATTTTGCCACATCTGAGAATGTGTGTATGCATACACACACACACACACACACGCACATATTGCATACCTTTAAATATTCAGTCCATGTTAAAATATCCCATTATCCTCAAAACTATTTATCATTATGCATTTCCACTACAGGGTTGAAGAGTATTAGAAAGTCTGATCTTCTACATAGATAACTTTTATGTTTATTTTGTTCATTTACATCTAAAATAATTTTTTCTTCAGAAACTCATAAGGAATTATTGGACTGTGGTTTTTCAAAGTTTTTCTATCTGGTATAAAAATGTAATGAAAAAAATGCTTTATTATAGTCAGTATGAACTCACACATTAAATTACACTGGCAAGGGGAGAGACAGGGTAGACTAAAGATTAAGAAAACCTTCATGGTATAAGTACAGTCACTTCAACCTTTTTTTGTTGTTATCATTTATACCTTATCTTGCTTTCTTACCTGTCCTTCCTCTGGTAGGATTTTTTTTGGTTCATTTTTCATTAGAACTTTTCCTAGAGAATATATTAAATAGGTGAAATTCAGACAAATCCATTTGGTGAATTGGGGTCCTCTGTGGCATTGGTTTTTTGGTTGTTGTTTTTTTTTTTAAGATGTATTTATTTGTGCTTACAGAATCTAGGGTACAGGCCAGAGGTGTGGTAGGTGAGAGGATTCACCAAAGACAGAGTGGGGAGCAGAACAGGCAGATGTACTGAAATACACTGCTGAGGGGAGCAGCAGGCAGGAGAGGAGAAGTCTGCCATGCCATGTGGGTCAGCTCCCTGGCAGGGGATTGAACTTGCTCTGCAGCGGCTTCAGTGGCCTTCATAATGTGGCGCATAAACTGTTGTGCCACCAGGGAGAGTCCTGTGGCATTGTTTTTTAATGTAAGTGACTGGTTTACTATTAACCTGCAACTGTTTCTTAGAAGCATGTAACAATTTAAATAATCTTTAGTAAATGAAATAAAATGTTTTTCCTAGTGTAATGCTTACTGTGGTAAAAACATACATATAAAAGTTCCTATTTATGGAGAAATCGTAAGGGAAATGTTTTCTTTCCTTTAAGATGTCACGTTTTTTGTGATTAGTGTCCTAATACCTAAGTTATTTTGGAAATATGATATCATTGACTCTGTCCTTAGTACTATGATGATTCTACTCTAGCTTTGTAGGAATAAACATGGACTATAATGTGATAATAGATAAGAAAAAGATAAATATGAACAGTATTATAGTATGCATCTGACTTATATGTACATCTGTTATTACCTATTAATGTTTTTTTTTTTAAAGATTTATTTATTTGTACATTCAGAACTGGGGTACAGGCCAGAGGCTCAGGGGTGGTGAGAGGCGTCACCAGAGACAGAGCGGGGAGCAGAATAGGCAGATCAATGAAGTACACTGCTGAGGGGAGCAGCGGGCGGGTCAGGAGAGGTCTGCCACGCCATGTGGTCTCCTCCAAGGCAGGCGGGGATCGAACTCATGGGGAAGTGGCTTTAGCTTCTCAGTGCAGTGCTTTAACCCGCTGCGCCACCAGGGAGGGCCACCTATTAATGTTTTTATTGGAACCTGAAACCTGTTGAAGCCTATTAATGGCTGTTACTCTGATCACCTCTAAGGGGGAGCAAATAGAAATTACAGGGATTAATATAGTATTACCAGAAACCTTTTAAAAAATGGCTAGCCACATTTTCTCTCTGTTTCTCTCTCTCTTGATATTATTATTCAATTGATTATCTTTATCATGATAGGAAGGAGTTGACTGCTGATGCCCGGGAGCTGAAAGGAGAGCTGTATTGCTTGCCCTGCCATGATAAAATGGGGGTCCCAATCTGTGGTGCCTGTCGCCGACCCATTGAAGGGCGTGTGGTAAATGCCATGGGTAAGCAGTGGCATGTGGAGGTGAGTTCCAGATGGTGGAGGTGTAACCTATGCTTTTGCACTACTATGGCTCAAATATGCTAGTAAGATTAGGGGATTCTAACGATTAAATATGGACATTTTAATGACAGATGGCTTTGTAAAAAGTTAACAACATAGAATATGTATTGTTTTTAATGATCTCTCAGTAATAATACAGGATGTACTCTGATTCTACCACCAGCTTCTCCCTTAGAGAAGCTACTAAGATGTTCACCTCTTTTGTCATTCTTTGTTGTTCATATAGGCTATGCAACTAGTCAAAGATTCAAGACACCTGAATTAAGATTGAAAGTACTGTAGGTTTACACTACCACTCATGAAAAAACTACCTAAATTTTCATGTATCGTCTCTGAGGACAGTTTAACTTTGGGGTTTTTTCCAAATTTTCTTCATTAAATATAATATGGCAGTTCAAACATGACTCATAGCACCTTTTTTTTTCAGCATTTTGTTTGTGCCAAGTGTGAGAAACCATTTCTTGGACATCGCCATTATGAAAGAAAAGGCCTGGCATATTGTGAAACCCACTATAATCAGGTATTAATTATACTCATGGGATATTAATATATTTTTATGAATTTGTATTAGCCAGTAGTTTAGCTGCAAGGAAATCTCAGGAACTGTACATAGGCCTATACAGATTTCTTTTTAACTTTTTTATTATTATTACTGTTTTACATTCTTGTGAATATTTTGACATCACAGCATTTCTCCCTTCTGGTGTGATCACTGTAGTTCTCCCACCACAAAAGCACCCACTTAAGACTCACAGACAGATTGTAAAATAAAACACAAGTATTACCTGTATACCTATATACCTTATACCCAGGTTCATCATTTGCATGTGTTCACACTCACAAAAACACACTCTTGGGCCCTCCCTGGTGGTGCAGCGGGTTAAGGTGCAACACTGCAAAGCTCTGCAAAGCTAACTGCAGCTACCTCAGTGCAAGTTGAACCCCTGACCAGGGAGGTGACTTACATGGCACAGCAGACCTCTCCTGTCTTGCCCATCTGCTCTCCTCTTTAGTGTAATTCTTTAGTCTACCTGTTCTGGTCCCCACTCTGCCTCTGGTGAATTCTCTCACCACCCCTACACCTCTGACCAGTATGCCAGTTCTGTATGCATAAATAAATAAATACTTTAAGAAAAAAACACACACTTAGGTAAATGCACATATTTTTACTTACAAATATATGTATGAATAAATACAAATACATACATGTTCTGTGTCATTTGAAGATAGTATCAACATGGTCCTTTATCCTTAACTACTCCAATGTATATTTCCCAAGAACATGGAACTCTCTTATACTACATAGTCATCATTTTGACATTTGTAACCTGTTTTCTTTCAGTTTGGTCACTTTACATATTAAGGTCATTATAGCATTTTCTTCCCCACTCCAAGAAAAAAATACTAGATGTACTTCCTATATCCAATAAAAGGTTATCCTGTTCCTTCCACCTACTTCAGTCTGGAGCTTTTCCAGGGCCTTGCAAGTGATAAAAAGTAAATTACTTTCATTTTAAGAAGTAAAAACCAGTCAGTGAGCTTTTACTAATTTACTAATTTTAGTACTTGTAAATTCTGCATTTAAAGGGTGGTGTTTCTAAAACTTAATTCTAGTAAATCTTGAATTTGTATTCCCCTTTTTTATCTTCTTCAGCTCTTTGGTGATGTTTGCTTCCACTGCAACCGTGTGATAGAAGGTGATGGTAAGTATCTGTAGTAATTTAATTTGGTACCATTTCAACCAGAAGCACTTAGGTAGTGTGAACATTGAATGAGGTTGATGATTGCTGTTGTTTGGAATGTGATCATTATCTGTTACTTTTCTCTCTCTTTTTTTTATATTTCCCAAATAATCTTTAATAGTGAGATAACATATAACAGTTAGACTTCATATTTATTTACCATAATACTTTAGGCCAGTCCCATAGGGTTGATACAGTAGAAATTGTAGGAATTACTCATGGCTGACCCTGAAACCTTTTTCTATTTCTTCTTCCTGGAATTATATAAGTTGGAACTGTAGAGCATTGTTTTATTAGGAACAGTTTAATCTGCCTGTGATAGAGTCCCTTTAGCCTTATAGATGCTTAGCACTCTTGTACTGTTGTAATTTGGGAGGGCTGATTGACTGGGACAGAAAGGAAACAGCTGTGTTTGCTAATAGTCACTAGCACATCATTGCCAGAAGCTTCCTGGCAGAGTTTTAAACATTCCTGTTTTCATCGTGCTTCATAGTTCTTGGCAGACAACTTAACTCAGGAAATATTTTCTGAAACACTGCCCATATGTATTTTGTGAGAGGATTTGTTCAGGAAAGCGATCTTTAGTGCCATTGAAAATAGAATTTAACTCCCTCCTACATGACACAGTTGCCATATGAAAAGAGCTATCAAAGAAAACTCTTTTCTTATTAAATTTGGAAGAAAAACAGGTAGGTAAGTTAATGTCTGATTTTTTTTTAATTGTTATTATTATTATCTAGGCCATGTTTCTTTGTTGGACCAATGGCAGTAAGGACAAAAAAGGAGGGAAGAGTGCCCTGGTTAAGCAAGTACTATGCGTAAAACCTTATCTGTCAAGCATCCATGAGAGTGAGAGGACATGAGCTTTGGTGTAAACATGGCTCATACTATTTAAATGCCTCACAGGATGCTCAAATTGAAAGGGAAACCATGTAACTATAAATAAAGGTTAAGAAAGGCAGTGGTCTTCTGTAAGAAGTCTACAGTCATATGAAATATACATTAAGCATTCGGTTTGTTTTTTTAATGTGAAAGTTCTTTAATATCACATTTAGTAATTTAAAAGCTTCAATGAATGAATATAATTGAATCAAAAATATTAGCTATTAGCACTGAGATTTTACTCATGTGATTCTTTTATAAATAAATTTGATTTCTTCCAATTTAAAGTTGGAAATGTAAGCTCCCCCTACTTACCAGACCAGTGTGTGTAACAAGATTTCTTCTTCCTCTAGTGGTTTCTGCTCTTAATAAAGCCTGGTGTGTGAACTGTTTTGCCTGCTCTACGTGCAACACTAAATTAACGCTCAAGTAAGTGAACATTTTGGTCATGTGAGACCTAAAACTGAAAACTTTGGGGTAACATTTTTTAAATATTAGGACAGGTTTTTAAAGAAGAGAACTACTTTATGTCTGTTTCTTCTTTCTATTCAGACCTTTTGAAAATAAATATTCTTCCTTTAATTATTCCCTGTTCTTTCCTCTATTCCTTCTATCCTGTTCAAAGGGATAAATTTGTTGAGATTGATCTAAAACCAGTCTGCAAACACTGTTATGAGAAAATGCCAGAAGAATTTAAGAGGCGACTTGCCAAACGAGAAAGAGAAGCAAAGGATAAGGACAAACAGAAGAAGAAAAAACCAGTCTGTTTGTAAACTTTTCTGTCCCTGTGTCATCATTTTCACTACTTTCTTCTTTGGTTAGTTATTTAGAATATGTTTTTGATCTGTTTCTGCATTTTCTTTTTATTTGTTTTTGGCATGTGTTTGTAGCCACCAGAGATTGAAATACAAATATTCTGTGTAGAGTTGATTTTTTTGCATATTTATTAAAATTATAAGACTTAATTGAGTAAAGTCCATGCTTAATAATATTGCTGGTATTTCATTTATATCCCTCATCTCTTTCTTAAAATTTACAACATTACATAAAATTTATAATAGATTCAAAGGAAAGAATTCCATTCTCTTAATAGGTATCAGTTAAGCTTTAAAGTATTTTTGTCTCATTGCAGCTTTATAAATCCTGGGTTTTTTGTTTGTTTGTTTGTTTGTAGTTTTGCCTAAAATAACTCAGTTGATAAATTTGAAGTATAAGATGTTCAAAATATTTATTAAATTAATCCTATCAGTGTGTTTCATTTCTAAGCACCACCTGATACATAAGATATCTTGTATCTTTGGTGTATATCCTTGTACTTCCTTACAATGCCCATATAATATTGTTTATGAACTCATTTTATATTTTATTCTTAATTTTCATGGGAAATATTTCAATCTTTGAAATTCTGTTGAAAAGCCAGTATGGTTGTCCCATTTATCCTTACCATTGTGTTCTACATTCTTAAAGTTTGTTTTCATTATTTAGTTTTCTTGTTCCTTCTATAAAGAGAAATTAGAATTCATATATAAAATCAAATGTTGGAAGTTACAGTTAGCAGTAGCTCTGAAATCAGTGAACACTTTATATCTTTTATCTAAAAAATGGCAGTTTTAGTAAATAGCTTTTATTCTAAGGAGACTGGTAGAAATGTCTAACTCAATAGTACCATTTAAGTCAAACTACCAATTGAAATATAACATCATCTTGAATTACAGTCAGCTTTACAATCTCTGAAAAAAAACAGAAAATAATTCTCATGTGGTATTAAAAAAAAGATTTTTCATTTTAAATGCATAGTTAAGAATTAACTTTGTGGGCCCTCTCTGGTAGTGCAATGGATTAAAGCACCGCACTATGAAGCTGTATGTATGTAAAGCTGTATTTTCTGTATGTAAAAATAAAAAAATTATTTATTTTAAAATAAAAAGATTTATTGATTTCTACATACAGAATTGGGGTACAGGCTAGAAGTGTATGGGGTAGGGTGAGAGGATTCACCAGAGGCAGCGTGGGGAGCAGAACAGGTGGATCTACTGAAAAACACTGCTGAGGGGAGCAGCCCATCAGGAGAGGTCTGTCGCGCCATTTGGGTCAGCTTCCTGGCGGGGCATGGAATTCGTGCTGCAGTGGCTGTCATAGCTTCATAGTGCTGCACTATCAGAGAGGGCCCTAAATAAATAAATCTTAAAAAAAAAAAAAGAATTAACTTGTTATTGATGTTGTTCTTTAAAATTATCATGAAGTATGTATTCTAGTTTAATAGACTTAAAAACAAATTAGTTTTTAAAAATATATCAGCAGATTTAATCACTTCTACAGATGATAATGTACCACTAATTATATTCCTAAATATAATTTCACAGAAATGAACAAGTTACAAAGTTGTATATTTACTCAAGCCACATTTAAGTAAGAACCCCCAGATATGAATGGTAACAAGCTACTTTAATTGCCATTTGGAAATGCAGTACAGCGGTAGGCTGTCTGGGAGACTTATCTTCAGAACTATTTTACAAATACATACCATACTGCTCTAGTCTTTAAAAAAGAAGAATTGAGTTATAGAGCTAACATTCAAAAGATGACCACAGGCAGTCTGCCCTACCATATTTTATGCCAGACACCCTACCAAAATATCTCATTATGACTTATGGGCTTTGGGAGGGATGATTTTTTTAAAGTGATTTCTGTTATTTGTAGGGATAGAAGGCGAGCCATTTTGTGACAGAAAAGATGAAAATTCATAATTAATGTAAAATACTAAGTAATGCCATTTTACCTGAGCAAGAGATCATTTAAATTATAGAAATACAATTCTTTAAGTAACTTCTTTGAGGGGTTCTCATGGTACTGTAAAGTGTGATCAGCTTTTCCTAAATTACATTTATATTAGATTTCCTGTATATTTGGGACTGGCTAAAATGTGATATACTTTCTGTACTACAGAGATAGAGGTATTGAATCAGTTTATAAGAACAATTCTTCTCAAATGATACCATGAATTTTTTATGTCTGCCACAATTGACAAGAATTGAGATTAAAATTACAGTTTTTTATCTCACATGAACATAGATAGCATTATTCAATGTTCTCATTTATTTCATTAAAAATTATTTATTTTTATTTCTATTCTGAATATATTTTCACTAATTTCTTATTGTTGTTATTATCTTTAGGAATAAATTTGTGGAGTTTGACATGAAGCCAGTCTGTAAGAAGTGCTATGAAAAATTTCCATTGGAGCTGAAGAAGAGACTTAAGAAACTAGCTGAGACCTTAGGAAGGAAATAACTCCCTTTGTTTTATTTTTTATTTTCTATGCAAAATAAGAGATTACCAATATAAAATAAGAGATTATCATTTGATTTGATCCACTCAAATTTTTAAAGCTCTATCTCAAAATAGTTGAGAGTGAAGGGGACCATTACATGGTTTTACCTCCTTTTTCTCATTGAAAAGGAGATTGTATAATCAAATTTAAAATACAGAAAAAATCAAGATATAGCTCTTAATAACCCTTATCAATTTGTTAACATGTAGACTATACTTTGTAACAAAAAACATATGCTAATTTTTAATCAAAGTCCAAAAGATGACATGTAACTTTTAAAATGAAAATAAGGTAAGGACTCACTTTTACTTGACTCAGATACAGACTTAGAAACATTATTTTACTATGTATCAAAAGAAAATTCTAGTTATTGTAGAAGGTATAGGGAAGAAACATAACCACCAAGAAAAACAAATCTTAAGAGAATCTTATGCTTATCAAACTAATAGTTGTTTGTAATGCATTTACTAAAACAAACAAGTATATTCAAAAGTACTTGATTTTGTGTTTTTGTCTTAAATGCAATAGTTACTATTCTTAGTTTTATATTTTGTTGTGAACTTTTTCCTTTGTATAATTACTTAACATAGTAGTTAGTACTTGCTAATAGTATGCCTTTATAAACTTTGTGCAAAAAAATTTATACTACATATTTGAAAATACAATATACTTTACAAATTGGAAAGTGAAGTATTCTTTAATGTGTTACAGCAATTATGTTTCTAGGTTTAAGATCAAGATGTAGTCTTAGGCTAGGATATGGAATTAAAACTTATGTAACTTGGAATGTATCATTTTCAAACAATGAATGTACATGTATTGGTCATATTGCCTTTATAACCATGCTAATATCTATATGCTTTATAATTAGTTTGCCTTGCCTTAGAAAAGCATATACTTTAATCAGGTATTTTAACTGTTTCATGCAATACCATCTAAAAATAAGTGCATTAATTGAGATTTCTAAGTCCAAATTTCTTTCAGTTATGGTTATATTTTTTAAACGTTTTTTTTCCTATTGCTTTGAAATTTAATTCTATAATCTTAAAAGAGAATGATGTTATGTTTTTTCATTTCAAATCTTATAATTTATAATTAGATTTTTATTCACTACTGGTAGGAGGTATAAATGACACTTTTAAATTGTAAAAGGGATACTTAAGTATCAATTTTAGGTCCAAAGTAGAGCATTATTCTACTTTATAAAAAATTTTATCCTGAAGTGCTGGCCCATTCTGTCTCTATAACTTAAGTACAAAGCAAATGTAAACATTTATATAATGTTGCTACTGCTTTGTTTAAAAGAAATTGCCAAGATACACTTCTTAGGGGGAGATTATTACTCCAAAAATTGTTGAAATAGTTTTATCATTAAAAATAATCTCAGGATGCTATCACTCTGCCATTAAAATATCTGTATGCATGTATTTTTTAAATGTTTATGCCTATACTTTACAGAGTAAACTATTTTGGCTTTCAGATAACTTATAACCAATAATTTTTAGTGTTCTTTTAGAGTTGAAATAATTATAAACAAAAATTAATCAGTATATACAGTTTAAGGCTGTATGTACTCAGAAGTTTAAAATAGTCTTTGCCTTTAACAGTAAGAATCAAAATCCTTCATTGTGCCTTTGTGAGCTAAGATATGACCAATGAAGACTTTAAAAGTTTTTATGAAATATTTCCTATAAATACAGGCAAAGTAGTACAATATTTGCAATATAGGGTCTTGATGCTTAATTCCCACATCTCCAACAACAGAAATACAGAACAGTAAAGCAGCCATGTGCTGACTTAGATTCTTAACGACTTTGAAGATGCATGAACTGAACGCCACTGGTTTTCTTATATCTTAGATATCCAGGCTCTCAAGCCAAGAGCCACTGCTCTCTTTTCTCACTTCTCAAAATATGAAATTTCCTGGGAGTTCAGTTCTCAAAACTTACAGTACTTTATCTAGATATACAGTACTTTCTTCCTTCATTAAGGTATAATTGGAATCCTTACATGTATGAAAGGAAAAGTAAATTGAAATATTTAAGTAAGATAGAAAACAAACTTGGTTTAGTTCATATTTTTCATGAGGCTTTCCTTGGTGTGGAAAAACTCAGAATAAGCATCTCTTTGACTAAATATCCTGTAAGGCAATTTGAAATTATGCATTGTTCTTATGGAATTTCTAAGTGCACTTTTTCTTACCAAGCATAATGTAATTGGAGCAATGTCTAGGTACAAATAAAAAACATTATTTGAATATATTGAGTCTTTTTAATATTGTACCTGAAATTATAGATCATTTTGCCTCACTTATTTGCCAAAATAGCCATTTCTTAGTTTAAGAAATTTTGAAGTAGGCTTACAGCATTCTTGTATTTCATCTTAGATTGTAAGCTCAATGGCAGGGACACTATACTAGTAATTATGTTTTTACAAAGCAACCACTGCAGTATACTCTTGGTGCTTAATAAATGTTCATAAGTATTAACAGTAATCTGTTATACATTATTTCTTTCAATAAGCTATGAGAAGATAAGACTGATGTTTTAAAAAGCCATTTTAATCTTTTAATATATGGAGTGTATATTTTTGGGTGGGAAACAGTTTTTTTTTTAGGTTTACACAGCTTTTTTTTTCTT